CATGTTAATGACCTTGATGTGGTTCTATTTTTTTTGTACTGTAGATCAGTTTGTTATAAATGTAGAGTTATATTTTAACTGTAGAGCTATTCCTGAGTAGTGGAAAATCTCAAAACTGCACTTACATTTCTAGCATCATCTTAATCAAATAGTCATTTTTGGAGTGTCTGCGCAGCTTACAAGTGTGCTTTTGGCTTTCCAAATTCACGGGCATAGAGAACTTCATGAAGATTAGGACCAAATGTTGGCTCCCTCATTTCCTTCTTGTATCTGAAAAGCATTGGAAATCCAGTTTGTAACAGACACCAACTTGTCAGCTTTAATAGTTACTGTGTAAGTTACTGGTACTCTACAGCTGGTAATGGTTTATCTGCCATGAAATGGTGCTTAACTGCAAACAGCTGTGCAGGAAATGACAGCCTACTGAAACAACCATTGTAAAATATTTTTGGCCAGTGAACTTCCAATTATAAGTGAAAATCTTATTTATTGTGTGTATTTTCTTCTTATTTTATGAGACTAGAGGTCCTGTTTAGGATTCAGGATGCCACTCTTTTTAAGACTGCTCCTCAGCCTTTTCCATATCAGTACTACTGAGGGTACTCTCTACCCCCAGCCCCAATGTGCCTGCAAACGCTGTCCCTCTGCACAGTGTCCAGTAGACTGAAATTCCCTCTCAGCATTTTGCTGCCCCCTGGTTAAGGTTGTCCATAGTGATCACTGAGGGTACCTACAGTGACAGAAAAATCCTTCTTTGTCAAAATTGATAAACAAACTATGAGATATATGACAAAGGAAGAAAAACAGATGAAACTCCAGGGTGTGTAAGATACAGTGAAATTTTCTGTCGGTCTAGGTGATTAACCAGTGGTTATCCTCTCCTGGCGCGGTGGGCAGAAGGCTGCCCTTTCCCTCTGCAGGTGAAGTGCTGGCATTTTTCCCACTGTCTCTTCTGTTCCTTCTCAGGTATCACAAAATGCATTGTAGTGAGTACAGGGTGTTGTAATGAGTCGGAGTGTACCAGCTACTCTGGTTCATCTCAGCTTCTGAGAAGGTACAGCATTACTGTGTGCTTCTTTCAGGGCTGGGCTCTTTTTAACTAACCCAGGGTTTTTTTTGTTAGAGGAACAAAGGTAATAAAAAAACCTTGAATGTTTAAAGACAGTTGAAGGGAGGAAGATTTCAGTTTTCCAACCTGGGAGGAGGGAGAGAAGAGGAAGAAATTGCTGACTGTACATCCAGAAGAAAAGGAAGATGTTTCAAACTGTTGGGGCTTACACATTTTTTTGTCTAAACTGATCTCGTCATTTCTCTTTAGCTTTCTGTTGAGAAATATTTTATGATCGGAAAGTGGAAATTAACTTTACGTAAAACCATTGCTTTAATTTTAAAATATTTTATACAATGGACTCCCAGTAACTGGAGTTATCAAATAAAACTGATAAGAGACTCCAGAGTATGGATTATTGATTTATTTCTCGAACCATTGACATCGGTCCTTCTTCAGAAGAGAACAGAGAGATGCAAGTGCAAGGTCAAGACTGGAGCCAGGAGACCCTGAGCTTCTGCTTTTGACTTTTCTGCTGACTTCTGTGATCTTGATAGATGTGCATATTTTGGGGATCCTAATTCATAGTCTCTAATGAAAATGGTCCTAAATGTAGTCCCATTAAATGAATAAAACAAAAAATATATTAATTTCTGTTCAGTATAGAATTTACCTGTACCTATATTTAGCTACTTCTCTATGGCTATACTAATAATATTCAAAGACTGTAATGAGAGACTTTTATGATATTTATGAAATACTTTCAGATTCATTTAGGAAATGCATTATTTATTGTATAGAGGCTGGAAATAGTTTCCTTCCCACCTGGATTTGCTCAGAAAATTATTTTTGGGGCCTGTGAAATCCAAGCTATTCATTATTTTCATGTGAAAAGCTATGACTTTTGTTTTGTTAGTTCATTTTTGACAGAATAATAGGCTCTTAAATGTTTCCTAAAAAGGTGAAAACTACCAGTATAGACAAAGACTTGCCCTTAACGTATATGGACACATTTTACCTGAAGGCACGGGAAAATGCTTTTTAGTAATATGGAGTACTTCTTTTGGAAGATTTTAACTAAAGATTTTATGGCCTTTAGCAGGATATGTTACACATGTTCTGTAAAATAATGTTCCTAACAGAGTGCAATGGTATGTGATGGAATTTCTTTCATGAGCCCTAGTGCAGAGGTAGCTCTGAGACTCTTAGAGGAAGAATTCACTGTCCCCTGTTTGCTTAAATATTTACAAGCAGTAAGTGTATTTCAAAGTAAGTGCTTGTTAAAGGAGGAAAAATAAACAGGTCGTTTTAAGCAGTTGCTTTATATTTTTATGGATATAATCTGTATCTCGGGTAACTCGTACTCCTTTCAAAGATGTTGGAAGTAGGAACTCCCAAAACTGCACAAAATCAGGGGCCTGGGAGCCATTGAGGGGGAGGAGAGGCATTAGGACAAACATCCCTCTTATACCTGTGTGTAAACCTCACCAATATAGATTGAAAAGAATTTGTTTTTACCGGTACCCAGTGAGTTTAAACATGAAAATACAGTCTTGTTCTTTTGGAGCAATTAGAATAGTAAGTTTTTATGTTTGTCACAGTGAGTATTTACAGCAGTGCTGCAGTTTGCATGGAGAGCTACCTCATCACCATGTAAGGAGCAGGCCTTGGCGAAAGAGTGGGCACAGAAATAGCGTGGCACATACTTCATTTCTGGGATGTGATATCTTAACTTTGAATTTGAGCTGTATTACTTCAAAGTCTGTGGGCTCAGAGTATGGCTTCCTCAGCCAGGCTGGAAGGGGGGCTGTGATGAGTGTGGTGGGTTGTCCCGGAGAGGGAACTGGCAGGGATGTTTGGTCCTCACATTTGTAGAGGCTTAGTATTGTCTCCCCAAAATGAGATTGATTGTCTAAAAAGGGCTTGGTTCCTTGCTGCCTGTTCCTGGTAACCCACTTCTGGTTTGTAGTTAAACAACAACTGAAGCACTGGAGAATTGAGTTTGCTGTGTTTGAAGCTGTATGGGCTTTGCATTGCAATATGAAGTGGCAGTTTTTATTGATTGCTAGAGCATTAGAGAGCCCTAGCTCATACCTATTTCTATCTGGAACATGGCTAGATAACATCAGGGCTACGTTTCCAGTTAGTCATATTTAGATTTTGGAAAAAAATGTAGATATAGTAGTAAATACTCCAGCAGGGAGACTTTCTTCAGTTTATTTTTATGTTCTTGAATTCCTTGAGTTCATCTATGGCGGAAACTCTGGATTATTTTATCTAGGACTTGATCTAGAACAGCAGAAATAGTTATCTACAGTTCATGCATTGTCCCTCACAAAATTACGTTGTTGTTTTTTTTCCTTGACAAAGTTGTTCTTTGCTGCTTAGATTAATTTCTGTAGGCCTATTACAGAGAAGTAGTGGTGCAACACTTTTAGTCCCCCAGTAACCATTTCTGTAAATCCTATAAAGATGTTTGGAGAGTTTCCATGAACACCAATGTTTTGTTAAATTTTTTTTGTCCTGAATCAAGAACAGAATGGGACCATAAGTTACGAGAACAACCTAGAAAGGAGGGGAAAAACAAAAGGGAAGGGACTTCAGTGTTCCCCAACAATTCACAGTCTGGTACTGCCTGACCCACGTATAAGTGAGATAAGAGAAATGAAGTGAAAGTATAGCCTATGTAAAAGTGGGAGGATCAAGTACAAAATATAGAGTCGTGTGATAGTTCAGAAATTTTCTGCAGTATTGCCTAGGAAACACACTGCCAGTTTGCAGTCAGCAGCCTACGCATCTCATGGCTCCGAGTCACTGTTGGCATCTTGGGAAAGCCCCTGGGACCATCTGTAGCTGAAGTGTGGTTTACATGTCACGCAATCTCAGTCCCCAGAACAGGGCTTTTATACATACCTGCTTTGGCAGGCATGGCAAGCCTGCAAAGCCCTTGTTCTGTTGTTTCACTGCTTCCTCGGCACTCTTGGTTTTCAAACTTCTGCATGTTTCTTCCTGTCCTGTAGGTACCCAGCATGTCAAGCAACTGCTGGCCTAGGGTTCATTCTTTACTTCAAGCTAGACCTTTTGATTCTCCATATGGGATGTTAAAATAACTACTTTATTACTAATCCCAAGTATTACAGGCTAGCTTTTATTTTTGTACGTTCCTTCATGTGTTCTCCTAAAGAACTGATAAAACAAAGAATTCTCTAGATATCTTCTACTGATCAGTTTCCTTCCACGGGAGTCCAGAGATGAAAACTGCCTTCAGTAGCACCACGCCTACAGGCTGTTTCTCAACATCATTCAGAATAACTTCCAAACTTTCCCTTGGCATATTTTGATTGATACCGTGTTTCCACAGCACTGATTTGTTCAGCAGTGTGTATGGCAGAAGCCTTACACTTTGAATTATTTCAGGAGTTAGTGTCTTCTGACAGGGAAGGGATTTCACAACAACAAAGCATAAGGTAAGACTGAAGGATAGACTGCTTTGATTTTTAAATGTGTACTTAGAGCGGTGGTAGATAAGAGATTCCTTTAATTACTGTCTGTGAAACACACCCTACATCAGGCTTCCCTAAGGGGCCCAGAGCATCTGCCAGCCCCTTGCACTGGAACTTGCTTTCTGCATATTCTGAGTTACATCACCTGTGCACCTCCTTGGCATTGGCCATAGCTGCCAGGCTGACAAAGTTTTTCTTGGACAAATAAAGAAATTCGGAAGTCCCTGAGGCATTCCACCATGCACAAGCATTGGTGTGATTTCCTTCCCTGGCAAGTAGATGAGATGCTGTAGCTGCTGCTTGTCAGAACTGTGTTGAGCTCAATGGAGTGAATGTGCTGGAACTGAAGTTTTGTCTGAAGGTTAACTCTCCGTGGGAAATACTTATAAAGGACATCTGGGTATCCAGTGTTAAGAACAGAAATGGATTCTTTTTTTCTGTCTCTTTAGGTCTCCAAAAGGTGATGTCCATAGTGAAGGATATGTCTTGGAGGTAGAGTGCTGCTCCTCTTTAAACCAACTTTCAGACAAAAAGGAGATACCTGATTTTATTAAGAAGGTGAGTTAAAAAAAAAAAAAAGGGCCAAACCCAAAGCACAGTATGCTTTTATTTGCACTGTCATTACTGCTTCTAGTTCTGTCAGTCTGTCAATAGGAATACATGTACATTTTGTGCAGTGGAAACACTACACTAGAACTTGATGTTTTGTAATTTTAAGTATCTGAAGGGCAATTACACTTATTGAAAGAAATGTTTGATCATATTATTGTGAGAAAATGATTTGTAGTATCACAGGAGAATGACCTCTCACAGATGATATAAACTAAGTTACCAATGTAGAAGACAGTCCTATAATTGTGTAAGCATTTTAAGTTGAAACATTGTATGTAGTTTCCATTGTACTGTCAAAATGTCCTGTTGGATAGTATTGTAGCTAAAAGGCCTGTTAACTCCTGGAATCCCTCAGATTATTTAAGTTTTATTTCAGTATCACATGATGTCAGCAGTTAGAGATGGTACTGGTAACCTAAATACCTTTGTCATCCAGCATAGTAGTGCTTTCAATAAAATTTTATGTATACTGGGGAATTTGAAAAGAACCCTGCAGTTCTTTATTTGTTGCCTTCTTTTTAAAATTATTTTTGATGCTGTAATATTCTGCCAGACTGGAAATTAGCAGGTTATGTCCATTTTAGTGAAGACAGATTAATTGTGCACGTTTTAAATTTTGCAGCATCTGTCGTGTCCTATTGCATGTTATAAAAGCTAGCATTAAATACTATATTTACTTAGCCACATGGTGAAAGAATAGTGTGAGTGGCATACTCCCCTAGCATTAATCAATCTTGCAGTGATAATAAGAAAATTTTGTAGACCAAATTTCAGCACAGGCTGTATGAGCTTGATAGGGCCTCAGCTTGACAGACTGCAGTCATGTTCAGTCTTTCCTTTTTACTATGAATTGTAAAAACTGGATTAAAAGTAGTGCAGCTATGACTATCTGATCATCATACTTAAAGATATATAGATTTTGGTATCTGAAGTTTTCTTAACACTTACTAATATTCAAAAGTTTGAGTCCGAGAATTTTGTTTCAGGGTTTATTGTGTTATTGCATTTTTATTCTGACGCTATCTTCAATTATTTCAATATATTCACACTTAGGCAAAACTGCTGTAGTTCTTGTGTATCAGTTTCAACACGTTTGATTTTGTTCTTCAGTTCCTTGAGTCAGAGTAGAAATATAGGCTTATCTGTCACAACTGGTAGCAAAATTTTGTATCATTGCAAGAAAATTTCTTTGTATTTGTAACTTCAGAAGGAGTATGGCTAACATGAAAACAAAGTGACAATCCAGGAGTCAGCTTATTTCCATAAATATGCAATTCTGAGACTCTTTAGAATGCTTTTCTAGACATGGAAATGTTTCTGTTGGTAGAAGCCATTTGATTGTGGGGTTATGAAGATGCCTTTTTGAAATATAATCACTTAAATTTTAATAGCTAAAATGTATATTTACTGTTTCTCTGTGGGCTGAGTATGTCGCTCATACTCAGATGTTATTTGATGTAAAGGAATTTGAAGTTCTTTGAAGCTGTTGCTGTCAAGTGTGTATCGTGTCACTGTCTATATCTGATTAAACACTTTGTGAAAGTCTCAACAGTTTTATGTAAATCTAACTCAGGAAACAGGACTTGTTTGGGAGTAGGAATTAATTGTCATATTAACTAATTTGTCTAAGCAACAAAAATGTCCATTGCTCTTAAAGGTATATAGAACAGATGTTTACAAACAAAATAAATGAAAAATAAAGGATGTTCTTCAAAGAAAGTAATACCAGAAAGCTAGTAGAGAGGGCAATTGCTTGCTTTCAAAAAAGAACAACCCTATAATTCTTCTTAAACTGTGGAATACAATTGAAGTTAATAGAGTGTTGTAATTGAATAGGCAAGTCCTTGATCACAGAGCTTTTCATAACAGAGGCTTTTAGCACAGGTTTACCATCTTACTGCATTACAAATTACTATATTTTTAAAAAGAAGATACCAAATAGACTAGCCATATATTCAAAACAAAATAATGAGCCAAAATTTTCTCCAACTGTGAATTTACTAGAAAAAAATCCTCTACACTGAGAAAATTAATTTCATTAATTTTATCATGCACTTGCTGAGCAAGAATTGTTAACATGGAGTTTGAGCAAGAATGCAATTTTAATAACTTCTTTTTTCAATTGACTCTTTGTTGCATTGACGATACATTTCATATTGAGTATTAACTGCTTGCTCCAATTTTAATAACTTCTTTTTTCAATTGACTCTGTTGCATTGACGATACATTTCATGTTGAGTATTAACTGCTTGCTCATGGCAAACACAGCAGTGTTGCAGTGGCATACAGCATCGGTGATATCTTTTTTCTTCTTCTATAACTCCATATAAATGTTTCAGAGTAATGAAGTAGAAACAAGGAGGTTATTTCACCTGGAGAATGCTTCTCACTCACTGAAACAAAGTGCCTCAGTGCAATGCTGACTATAAAACATTTAAGAAACGCCAAAGAAGACTCTGGTCAAACCTGTGTTCTGTTGCTGAGATCCTCCTGCGCTGCAGGACTCTGTCCCAATTCTCTACTCTCTTCTGTACATTCTTGCCACCACTGTGGTTTCCGACCATGGTGAGAGCCACTGAAGACAGGACACCGTTTAGTATTGGGGACATGAAGTTGCATGGGATACACTCTTCTGGTACCTTAAAATCATGTTGGTATCACCATGTTCTGTTTGTTCTTCCATATCAATGTGGATCTAGTGCAGCTCTACATGTCTTAAAGAGCTCAAACAGTCCCATGGTGTCTTTGTCATTTAGTTCCTGGGAATGAAAGAAGTAACTTAGCTGTTGTATATGTACTTTACTGCTGTATTGGTATTAGCACTCCTGTCTTTAGCTCTCAGGTAAAGAGAATAAAGATTTGCTCATCTGCTTTTTAATGAGCAAAGCTAACTTCTGAACTTCTGATCACTGTGGCTCAGATCATGCTGAAGTTGTTGCAAGTCAGATACAGTATTTTGTAACAATTTGACTTGTGTCTGATGTAAAATAGGGTAGCCTTTAATTACTTCCTTACTTGCTCTTTATTTCTGTGTATCCTGTTACCGTTTTTTTCATCTGAGTGTGTTCTCCTGAATCTTCTGAGACAAGAAAGGGAAGAAGAAGCTAGGCTGACATCCCAAGAAAAGAGTTATTTTGGATACACAGTCATGTATGAATGCCAAATATGTTTCTCATGACCTTTGTTTTCCACAAGGATCTGAGTTACATGCTCTGGAAGAGCTGCCACAGGCAGAAGGTTTTACTCCTATGATCACATCTTTGCGGTGTAAGGTTAGGAAGTGGAGGATAGTCTCTGACCATTTCTTCCCAGTTCTGACTTTCTAAAATTTAGGAAGCACATCTTTGTATCCTTGATTGCCTGCTTAATAGTATTCTGTCAGAAGGAAATTCTTGTATGTTAGCTTTTTTCAATTTGACCCCGTTGCAGAGTTCATATTTCTTGCCCCTGTGGACTCATTATCCTTCCCTGGGGAAGTACGATAAGCATAGAAGAACATGGTTTAAAAATGCTGCAGCTTAACTGAAATCCTAGTGCAGGCTTCTTCCTTTTGTGTTTTTGACTAGACAAGGACCTCTCCCTGCTGGTCTGTCCTTACTTGACTCAGAAATGAGTCTAATTTCTTCCAACAAACCTAAGGCCATACAGATGAATAATGGGGTTTGCATTTTCAGAAGGAGATCAGTTCAGCTTGGAACACGACTGCCATCTTGCAACACCTGTGTAAAGCTTGTCTTGTGATGAAATCTGCCATCTGAGACAGTGCTTGTCAAATCTGCTGTTCTCTCTGTTCAGTCTTGGTGAAGTTCAGTGAGCATACAAATACCATCACCAGCACTAGCGCAAAAGCTGCCAGTAACATGTCACTCCCTTATGTGGTCCTCTGAACAACTTCTGTAGTCCACAGCACCCTAGAAATAATCTTGACTCCTGCAGATGTAGTGACTTAGCCTGTAAGTTTGTTGATGTTTGTTTTCTGGTAATGGCATTGCTGGGCCAAGGAAGTGATAGTACTTAAACGAGCGGGACCGCAGCGAGGAATATGCCAACAAAACACATTGCAAGGGCACTGCCACCCATGTACTTATTCTAGAGTTGGCATCTGAAACAGTGACCACTGGTTCTCCCTGGTACAAAGGCAAGTTGCGCAGGGAATTGGACTATTTTGAAAGAAAGACCATACGATACTAACACTTGTGTGAAGAACTTGCATCCTACATTGCTGAAAGGATCTACTGCATTTGATCCCTCTTGCCAGTTTTATGGAATGTATGGTATCAACTGGTATTTACTGTAATTTTTCTAAATGTCTTTTTAAAAAGAAAATGTTATCAGGAATAGAACTGGCATGAGGAATTAGGGTGTTTCAAGTGTTGGTTTATGTACTGGAAATTAATAAACATTACTACCAACAAGTTTAAACTGTAGTTGAACTTACTCAGTGTACTCCTGAAAGGGGAGACGTTTCTTGGAGGGGTTCGATCCTCCTGCCAGTTATCTGCCCTTGCTCCTTTGAAGGGAGCAGCAAGCAGGAGACTGGCTGAGCGGTTGGGTAAGGAACTGCTGCATGCCCCAGACAACCACAGGCCAGTCTCACTGCATGTTTCTCCATGTTGATGTTTTTATCAAACTACCAAGATACTTCTTTTCCTCCTCTCTTGTTTTGTCCCTCCATTCCTCTGTAGCTGTTTTGGTGTTATCAAGATAACTGCTATCTTAGGTCGTGTGCATTGTTTTCTGGAGGATCATCTGTGTTATGGGTCTAATTGGTGAATAATTTTTGTATTAGTGTTGCTGTTAAAAGACAGGTTAATTCTCCAACTTCTTTTAGGTTGCTAGGTAGAAGCAGGGTTGGAGTATTTCGGAGGACATGTTTCTCCTATAAAACAAAAACTGAATGGCTATATGAATTCTCAAGAGCTTTTTAAATCTTTTCTGTAGCTGTT